CTGGTAGGCATTCTACACCCCATAGGTCCCAGTCTAGTGTCACATAGTAAAATCGTTAAGCAATAGGTTCTTGGGCACTAGATGTAAGGGGGGTGTGGAGGATAATCTGCATAGAATATATAATGTACTGACTTGTATAAGTCCTTAACTGCAACTGTAAAATTGATATAAGGGATTTATCAATAAAGAAGAAGCGGTCACCGCACTTGCACCTTATAAAAAAAAAAACAAACAGTAGACTTACTAACTCTATTTAAGTGTGTGTTTTGGAAAGTATTTGATTTAGCAAATATGATAATAATAATGTGGATGGTTTTTATGATAAAATAAAAGTAAGGAGGGATGCAAGAGAACAAAAGAATAGAAAACTGTCACAGATTTTTCCTTATGCAATCAAAGGATAAGCAAGACTTTTAAACTTAAATAGACTTTGACCAGAAGTTCCATCCCACTATACCAGTTGTCTTGAAGATTCTTAAGTTTATAAGTTAAGGCTCACTTGTGATAAAGAGTGTAAACCATTTTTTCTTGCTTAAAATTACTATTGTTAGAGGATAAAAATTGTGACATAATTTCAGTCACATGACTAATCGTCACAATAGTGCTGCAAAAGACCCATTTTGATTATGATACTCAAGATAATATAGAGGAAATTGTAAGCAAAAGTGATGAGAAATAGTTAAAGTAAGAGTAGAATAGCATGTTAAAGAATTAAGTAAGGAAGAGAGAAGTGTAAATACAATTAAATAATATGAAATAATTGTGATTAAATATTATGTAATTAGGGAGAATCATGAGAAGACATTAGATAATCAGTATAAAAACTATTCCAACTAATATATATAAAAAGATAGAAGTAAAAAGTAAATAAAAAGAGAATTAATGGATTGATTGATTAAATTATTTTTTACTTGACCAAACTATATATGCTTTAAATTTTACTCAAACCCCTTATCTCATCAATGATTATATGATATTTTCTTATTTTAATAACAGGCTTGCCAATTGACTGTTACAATTTGATAGTGACTATAAGATTAAACACTGTTCATTACCCTTCAATTTTTTTTTATTGTAGAGACTGTTCAAGACATAATGAGAGAAAACTGTCTAAAAAGAAAAAAATGATTATATACTAGACTGTCAAAGACATGACAAGAGAAAATCGCCTATAAAAAAGAAGAAGAAATACATACTAGACCATCCAAAACATGACAAAAGAAAATTGCCAATTAAAATTTAATTAATAAAATAGAAATTTTAAAAATTAGTAACATTACTTGTGTAATGATGATAAATCAAGATTTGAGTAATAATGCAGTTTCTGATCTCTTCTGACAATTAGATTTCTTGAAGAAGTTGACATGTACTTTAAAAAATCTAAGAGTAGAGATGTCAGAAAAAGAAAAAAAAGTCTGCTGGATCAGGTTACAATGCTTTAAGAAAGAAGCTGAAGAAGACTCACACCTTTAATTGAAATATTACAAAAAGATTGCCGAATCCAACAGTTAGTCAAATAACAAAAAACTAAAAGAAATAGATAATTACTTAGGAGATATAATAAAAGAATGATACAAGAACAATTGTGACCAGTTTGTCTATTGAAATGAATGTAATAATGAAAGAAGCTTTATACCAACCTTCCTATAGCATTTCACAAGGCTCAAACAATGACACTAATAGAAGGCAGAATTGCAAAACCTAAGGCAAAAAAAAAATGAGAAAGTAGTTAGTTATATCCTTAAGTTTCAAGAACTAGTAAAGAAGATCAATTCCAAGCAAGAGTATTTGACGGATACATAGTAAGGTTGTTTACGAATGGTCTAAGGAAAGGCATAGCATATATGTCTATTGTTAAAAATACAATTAGCATATACACAATGGTAAAGACTGCATTAGAAATTGAGAATGCTAGTGATATATCTCCTCCGTTAAAGAGAATACCAACCAACATAATGAAGAAGTTCAAAGAATACTACAACGAGATCTAAACAAACATTCCTGATAAGATCTAGAATAAAAAATCCTATAGCATACCCTTTCTAATAAAAAGAACTTTGATCAATTTAATCAAGATAACTGAAGAGTGTCACGATGAAACTCCAATGACCAGTACTAACAAGATTTAGAATAAGCAAAGAAATGATAGAGATCATAATGTGCATTAGGAACCAATGATGCCACTTAGTGAAGACTTAAAGAAAATAGCAGAAAAAGAAAGCAAGGATGTTAATAATAAACGCCAAGAGGAGATAGAGAAATCCACTTATAATGAGATGATAATCAAGAAAGAAAAAGCAAATAAACACCTAAACAAAATAATAACCAACAACTCCAGTAAAACCATAAAAGAGGAAACCAATAGTAATAAAGCCCAAGCAGCCAAGGATAACAAAAAAGATAATAATGAATATAAGTTACAACTTATCCTAAGAAATATAAAAGAAAGATAACCTAAAAATATAAAGACAAAAAAAACAATGGATAACTACTCGAGTAAGATTCTGGAGGAATATTATAGAGAAACACTGCTAGAATTTACTTATGGCAAAACCTCGAAAAACGATAGTATCATAATAGAGAGGATAAAAAATAATGACACAATAGAAAAGCCAAAAGATACAATGCAAAAATCCTTCTATGACGAAACAATGAATGACTAAAGGAACACAAGTGCTATGAATATAACCAAAGAGAATAATATTATAGTAAATGACACAAAAAATAAAAAATTGACAATGATTCATGAGAAACAGAAATATAAGTTGCATCAATGTATCTTCAAAAATAATAAAAAAGAGCAATTGACCAGCATGGATAATCGAGATCAAGGAAGAGAATATGAACTTGTATGAAGGAACCTGAAAGTCATAAAGTATAATAGAAGAAAAGACTTGATAAGTGGAAGTATCAAGATAAGAATCAAAAGAAATAATACAATTGGATCGGTAAATAACATGGAAAATGAAGAATTAGCAAAAAATCATAAATAACAACAAGAGTATAAGCTATAACAATATATTCTAGAAGAATAACTGATCATAATTGTTAATTAAAACAAAGGAGAAGAAAATAGAATTACATAGAATAAATCTGTAGACAATAAATTAGATCCTGGAAATTTATGATTTGAAATAAACTGAGAAACCATAATGATATACCTATAGAAGATTATGCCTATATTAATAAATGTGTATAAGTTAACATTTAAACTATATCAGTAATATATTATCTGTCACATTAAGACTTATTAACAAGATAAATGAAAAAAGTAAGCAAAAATGACATGCCAGTGACAATAGAAACTATGCCATACCAACAACTTACTATGTATGGAAATGACACAAATAGAAAGAGAAGTTGATCATTGAACTGCCGATTTAACAATTCAATAAATAATGCCTAGCCATTACTAATCAAGAAACACTATAAGGGATATGCCTAATTGGAATCTTAATATGTGTGATGCATAAGATAAATGTGAGGAAAGTGTTAAAGTAGTGATTTTAGTTAGCAAAAATTTTTCTAATTGATTAGTTGCTTTCAATATAATCAACTAGTTGTAACTAAAAATCTTGAATTCTGATTGGTTGATTTTGAACTTTCTAATTAATGGTTTGTAACACTATATTAGAGGGTAAAAATTGTGATGTGATTTCAGTTACAGGACTAATTGTTATAATAGTGTTATGAAGTACTCATTTTGATTATAATACTTAAGATAATATGAAGGGAATTGTAAGCAAAAATAATGAAAAATAGTTAAAGTAGGAATAGAATAGCATGTTAAAGAATTAGATAATAAAGAGAGAAGTGTAAAAATAATTAGATAATATAAAATAATTGTAATTGAGTATTATGTAATTAGAAAAAATTGTAAGAAGACATTAGATAATCAGTATAAAAACCATTCCAATTAAGATGTATAAAAAGAGAGAAGTAAAAAATAAATAAAAGAGGGATTAATGAATTGATTGATTGAATTATCTTTTACTTGACCAAATCATACACACCTTAAATTTTGCTCAGACTCTTATCTCATTGATGATTATATGATGTTCTGCCCATTTTAGTGACAGGCTCACCGATTGACTGTCACATCATAAAAGGAAATTTTTTAACAAAATGGACACAATCAGGAGAGAGTTTTAATTCTCATTTTGGTATTAAATAAATTTGACTTTTATATTCTTATTAATACATATTTAAATTTTTTTTTTATTTTATCAATTATTTATTGAATTATGAATAAAAATATAAATTGAAAATTTGTGCAATATACAGTATTTAAAAAATAAATATAAAAAACAAAAAATTTTTTTAGAAAATTTAATCGAAAACTAAAAAATAAATAAATTTACATCGTACACGAATATTATGATAAACAAATTTTAAAATAAACAAAATTTTCGATAAATTCATTAGATAAACCTATATTATCGCCATAAAAAAAGTTTTTTTTATTAAAAAGCTTTCGGATCGCAACATGAAAATCCCCCCTTGTTATTATTGTATCGTCTTAACAAAATAATGTCATTAAAATTAAAATTATGATTTTAAAAATGCTTCCGATATACAGTACATCATCCATTTTTTCATTGTTTTTGATTTTTATTTTAATTTTCCTTTTAATTTTTGAATGAGATATAATAATAACGAATATAAAATATTTTTTTCAATCCATTTGTTGTTCTCGGGACTTTAGGAGATGAGCGAGTTGGCGTGACCTGGATTGGGGAACCACCGCTTGCAGCTGATTTATCACCGACCGGATCAAAGAATCGAGATGGAACCTCGTACAGTAATTGATTTCTACACACTTTGCAGGCGGATGAGGTAGGTCTCGAGCGAACATCTGGACGACGAACTTCGTGACATTCTTATGAAAATGTCGTAACTTGATTGATTTCCGTTTTCACACTCAATCCTTAAAAAAAAAAGAGCCCTTAATTTGAAAGTTTGTCCCTTTGGGTCAAGTTATTTATCACTTTGGTTTTATAATGCAGATGGTTTTATCATGAGATCGAGAGGGCTTGATTAAGTTGATAAAATTAGTTAATTTAATTCAAGTGACAGATTAAATGGCAAGTTTAAAAGTGATCGAGCAAGTGATTCGGTTGACTTTTCGTGGAATCATATGGTTTGCATTCTTCTCGATCGTCAACTACTTGACTATCACATTACTATTATCAAATAAGGTGGTAACGGATGAAATTGATCGCAAAGATAAACTATTGATAAACCACGCCACCGAGAAAATTATTGCTACTACGGTTTGGTATCCTTTCAATCGGGGGAACTTAAAAATTCGGAATTTTTTATTATCCTTTAATTACTGTGAAAGTTTAACACTGCGGCTATCTGGTATATTTTAAGGGCTTCACCCTCCGTGCGCTAACAAACATTCAAGGTGTAATTAAGGAATGACATAATAAGAATAATGAAAAAATAAGTCAAACAAATGAAGCAAGTACGCACATATATTTCGAGTCGGGTACCAAATGAAAAAAATTCTTGGCGCTCATCTATAAGATCTGCGACTAATGCTAACCAAAA